ACAGAGACCAGCATAGGGGCAGGATCCCCTCCCTGAGCTGCTGCTCACGCTCTGGGGGGGCACCCAGCACACGGGGGGTGGGTCTGGGCTCAAGCACACACTGAAGCCAGGTCATGGGGAGCTTCTCATTGACCAACACCCCAAGTCCTTCTCCTCAGGGATGTTCCTGTTCGTCACGGTTTCAGCTAACTGGGTGCTGTGCATCCACTGCTTTTTTTTGGAGGGTGTCCCTGCTGGGTGCTTTATTGTTTTCTTGCTGCACAGGAGATCTTTGGCCCCATCCTCACGGTTTACGTCTACCCGGACAAGCAGTACAAGGAGGTCCTGGAGCTCATCGACACCACCACACCCTACGGCCTCACGGGGGCGGTCTTCGCCCAGGAGAAGTAAGTGCCAAAACCTCCTCTGCCACCACAGCGAAGATGCTTTTGCCCTTCTGGGGTGAACCATCTGCCCCGCTCCTCCGCGGAGCCCTGTGCTGCACGGTGAGGGTGAAGGAAAGTATTTCCTGCTGCTTTTTGTCCTTCTCCGACTGAGGAGGGAAGGGGATGCCTCTAAAGTAATCATAAAAAGCCTAAGAATGCTTTTTTCACTGAGAAGCTGTCGCAGAGGTGATGTTCGGAGCATACAGAAGGATGCACCACACACCCCTCATGTAGGAGGAGGGCTCAGAGCAGTGCAACATCAACAAGGGACCATCCTTAAGTCACAGTTACCTTCATTTATAACAATAAAACTTGGAAACAGACTAGAAGACAGACTGGGATCATTTGAATGAGCTCTAAGTGTGCACAACCTTCTTCAGTGCGTGTCAGACTAGTGGAAGGTGTCCCTGTCCATGGCAGGGGGTCTTTTCCAACCCAAACCATTCTATGAACCTATGATCCTCTAAACGATGTGCAGGCCTGGAAATGCCATGCAAAGACATACAGATGTGCTCTTGGCATGATTTTAATGGCTACAGAAGAGTAGAGGCCTCCACACAAGTTGCTGTTGGGTTGTCAGAGCTGTTTCTGTCCCTCCTTAGGAGGATCATCGAGGAGGCCAGGAGCTTCCTGCGCAACGCGGCCGGCAATTTCTACATCAACGACAAGTCGACGGGCTCCATCGTGGCTCAGCAGCCCTTCGGAGGCTCCCGCATCTCAGGTGAGACGAGGAGCCCTGTCCACAGACAGCACGTACCTGTGTGTGGCACATGGAGCTGCGTCCCTCTCTGGCAGGTCCCTTTATCCTCCGTCTCGTGGTACCAGCACTTTGTTTCCTTCTGAAACAGGCACTAATGACAAACCTGGTGGCCCCCACTACATCCTGCGCTGGACGTCCCCTCAGGCCATCAAAGAAACCCACGTGCCCTTGACAGACTGGCGCTATGCCTACATGCAGTGACAGCTCCTCCTCCTCCCCAGCCCCACTGGTACTACTGATCCTCAACGCACAGAAGTGGCCTTGCAGCTACGCCCTTAAGAAGCACTTAGATCTACTGATCTCTAACCTGAGCTTAGGTTTCCTTTTTAAAGGAAAATTCTATTATTAAACTGTAAACGCAGAAGAAAAAGTCCTTGTGGTCATGTAAGAGTGATGTGTTAATGACTTCAGGGGTGCTGGAGGAGTGTGGTTGCATACCTGGACCCCAGTTGCCTTTTATCCTAGAATCCCAGACTGGTTTGCATTGGAAGGGACCTTAAAGCTCCTCCAGTTCCAACCCCTGCCCTGGGCAGGGACACCTTCCACTAGAGCAGGTTGCTCCAAGCCCCTGTGTCCAGCCTGGCCTTGAGCACTGTTTTGTCCAGCGTGGTTCCCTCAGTGGGGCTGCAATTAAAGCAGGAGCTGAGCATTAAGAGGCTGGCCCTATCCTGCCAAAAGCTGTGTCATTCCCTGTGTCCCCAGGGAGCTGCACCAGCAGAAATCACTGGAAGCTGAGGGCTGCCTGTAGCAACCTTCCCGGGAGCTGTGGGGCTTTAAACCACAATCGATGCGGTGGGAGCCCAGAGCTGTGTTTTCTCCCTGTCCCTGAGCAAGGGCAAAGCTCAGACACCCCCAAACGGGTTTTGATGTCGGGAGAGAACTTGGCAGAAGGCACCTTGTGCCAGGAGAGGGCGGCTGCGAGTGCGGTGCTGCTTCGAGGTGAGTTGAAGTGCCTTGTTCCTCTGCTCTGAAGGCAGCAGAGGGGGTTTCCTGCACAGTCCCTTGCAAATGGTCTCAGGGTGTGTGCAGACATCGGGCAGATGGAGCAGCAACACTCCACTTGGTCCCCTTGTTTCATCACTGGTGACAAGGTCAGGCTGCCTCCCATGGCTTTTGGCTGCTTCCCCTGCTCCGATCCTTGCATATCCACTGTAGGAAGTGGAAAGACTTAGAGAGAAGGTGTTTCAAGACCAGGACCATTCCTGCACAAGCTGCAGCATCCCTCAAATCCCTGGAAGGACCTGAAAAGGAAACTGAAGGAATTTAACTGAATTAGCAGGAGGTGCTGGGACAGCAAGTGGAGGGCTGCAATCATCAGAGCAAGATGCATCTCCCAGCCTGTTGTGCTCTGTCCAGGGCCACACTCTGGCCTGTGGAGCTGCTTTTGACACAGGCACATCACTGAGGCTCTGCAATGAGAACAGGTAAAGAGATCTTAGACACAAAGTCTTGCATCCTTCCAAGATCATTTCTAATCTAGAAACCTTTGTAACACCTACAATAATAACTGTTCAGTTATCAGAATTTGCAGCTAGAGTGGAGAACCCCGTTGTAATAAGCATGTATTGGGTCTTGTCTGGGCCTGGGCTGGTATTTAGCATGCAGGTCATGAAGGAATTGCGTTGATACGTGTGAATCTTGGTTTAACTGAGAAAATCTGCAATAAAACAAATTTCAACCCCCCCTTTGTGTTCTTTTATGAATGATTTCTTCAAGTTGCTGCCAAATCCAGAGCTAGATCGAGTGTGTTTGGTACCTTTCACGCATGCAACGTGGTAAGAAAAGATGGGAGAATAAGGTGCTCCCCAAACTGCACCTGATCAGGCTTTTGCTGTTTATCCTGACAGCCCTGCTCAGTTTGGGACCTGTGGGTTCTCCTTCACGCTGCTGCACCCAGAGCCAACCAACCCCTGTGTATATTGATTGTTACTTAGGCAAACACCGCCCTGCTGTTGTCAGCAGCTAAGCCGAGGCACCCAGGCTGAGGACCCCCAAAATAAGCCTTTTGGCTGCACTTCTCATTCCAGAGAGGTAAAAACATAATAAACCAACCCAGTTTTGTGTTCTTTGCTAAAGCGGACATGGCCCTTGCACGAGGCAGGACCATCATGTAAGCGCCTAATTCAGAATCATCCAGGTTTGTACAAAGCATCCTTGTGCTGTGCACGGGGAGAGCACACGGGATCCCAGTTCAGCTCCAAAACCACCCCCAATCCCTCAGCAGGGAGGAAAGGACTGAACCCACTGGGATCCTTTAGGGAATGTCTCTGAACTCCCCGAGATCATCCAGGTGGGACCACAGCGACATCCCATTCTCCAAGTCACCTCCTGACACCCAGCTTGGGATAAACCCTCCCAAAGCTCCTCTGGACGGCATCTCCCAACCTTTCCTGATTGATTTCCATCAGCTCATGTAAATCTCATTAAGGGCTCTGCCTCGCACCCCCTCGCCTGGAGATCGGGAATGCCGCATCCCAGGAGCCAAGCGCCGCTGCCTTCGGCTCACGCCTTTTATGACTTAAGGCCAGAGTGTCAAGTGGATTTTTTAGCCTTAACTCTGAATTTCATGGCTTTTTGTGACTTTAAATCAGTCCCTTAATGCTATTTAAACAGTTGCCTTTTTGAAGCTGATAAACGCTTCAGGAGGGGTTTGGGAGAGACAGGGGCTTGCGCAGCAGACCCCCGGGCATCCTCCTGCCCGCTGGAATGCTCCCGGAGCTCTCTGCCCTCCACCGGGATGAGGAAAAGGGTCTGGGGAGGGTGTAAGGGCACCACATGGCCCAATAAAGAGAGGCAACAGGTTTGGAGCATCTCTGGTAGTGATTCAATCCCATTCCCATGCACAGCCAGAGCTGGCCTGGCTCTTGGCAGTCTCCCACCGCATCCTGAAGCACTGGACTATCCATCCTCGGAGCCGGGAGACGGGCGGGCGCATGAGCCAGGATCTCTCTGGGAAGTGGCAGATTTTCCCCTCCGATAACACATGGCTCCATCTGCTTCCCGTTAGCGGCCTCAGCTGAGGCTAATTGGCCCGGTGTCCCGTGTTAGGGATGGAGTTAGGAGAGGCCGGAGTGAGCACGGTGCTGCTTGGATGGAGCCCGAGCACCTTCCCCAGCCACCACGGGCTGTGCAGGTGCTAATGCAAATCACCCTGAGCACCGGGACGTGCTGAGCCCTCGGTGAGAGGAGCAAGACTCAGCTTTACAGCAAAACAAAGCAGGAAACTGAGGCAGCGTGGACCAGGTCGCTCGTGGGGACAGAGCATGGGAGCACGTTCTGCCACAGGGAGACCAGCGCAGCAACAGCCACCCAGCTTTTTTAGTCCCAAGGGATGCTTCTGGCTTGCTGGGCAACCCCAGATTCAACAGGAGAAGCAATGACCATGCTTCCTATTTAAAGGAAAGGTAACATTTGCAATTCCCTACTCCTAGCACGTGTATAGGGAATGGCTGCAGTTCAGGGCAGGGCACAGGGCTGGAAAACCCCGGCACTACACCCCAAGGGTGAGGGGGAAACACCCATCACTTCAGCACATGAACACAAGAACTGAACCACAGAGGAGGAGCTGGATTTGGCTTAATGAAGCTTGGAGGGAGCCCAAAACCTCCCCTGATGTCAGTGACTGAGGGCTGACCCCTTGCACTGGGCAGCAGACTGCAGCCAGTGGAAACACTGCACCAAACACACTCTTATGCTGCGGACACAACACAGGGGAGACATTCGGGGCTCTCTCCTTTCCCAGCCTCCCTGATTTCCTCCTAGAAGTCCTATTTCCAGTGTCCGAGGGGCAGATTTCCTGCCCAGGCAGTGTCTCAGGCCAGAGAGCAGGAACTAAATGCAATTCAAGAGGCTGGTTTTACCTTCTGCTGATACTAAAGGGGATGTTCGGACTCTGTGTTTCACCTTGTTTCCCAAGGAGAGGCCGGAAGAAACTCATGACATGGATGCTACAGGGGGGTGAAAACCCACGCAGGATGCAGGGAAAGGCTGGGGATGCTTGCGGGATAAAGGGAATACCTTTAATGACAGGTCCAAATCAACCCCCAGCTTTACAAACCCCTTCATCTCTGCTTGTAGGAAAACTGCCCAAGGTTGAAAACCTTTTGGACCCACAATTCCAGCCGGGGGGAGCCACATGCAGAATTTGTGCTCTCTTTCTGCCTTATGTTATTTCCCTTTTCCTTCTATTCCTGCCTGAGGCTTGAGCTCCCCGCTCCCTGCAGTGCTCTGTGGCTCTGGGAGCGCGCAGAGGTGCCGGCGGTGCGGGGAGGAGGTGTTTGCAGTACAAGGACTTAGCAGCAGATGGTGGTCTTTATCCCGTTCTCCACAACCAGGGAAAAGCGGCGTCCCCACAGCTCCCACCGGGCTGCAAGACCGGGGTCCCTCATCCGTGGGGCTGGGGACTGGGAGGACTGGGTTGGGTGGGTTTAAACTGGTGGGGAGGAAGGAGAGAGCTGTGGGGTTCAGCTCCAGAGCCCGGCTTTCTCACAGGGCGGATGGGAGCAAGCAAGCAAGCAAAGGAGAGAAGGGGGAGAGGGTTTGAGCTTGTCAGCCCCATTCAACAAACAAACTACGGGTTGAAGCGCTGCACAAGTGCCCCCGCTCCCCATCCCCACCCAAAATGCTGCAGAATTATGGGGAGGCTTCTAATATTTAGCATTTTTGCGAAAGCCCCAGGTCCTGGAGTCATGAGAATACGGCGGGATGTCAGCTTCCAGCTAGAATAAATAAAGAGGGGATTCACATCCCTCAGGATAACACAGCAAAGCTGGAAGAAGACATGACCCTACCTCAGGGCCGGAAGAAAATCCTGGAAAGCAAATAAAGAGCCCAGGAGGCAGAATGTCCCCATAGATCCCGATCTTTGCATGACCACGCTGCTCATCGAGCAGTTTAACATCAGAGGATCATGGATGGTTTGGGTTGGAAAGGAGCTTAAGA